ACTTCACCAACATCCCCGGTGAAAGGCCCTCCATGTCCTTCTTGCCATTCCCCTTCAAAAAGTTATGGTCTCAAATTGCTGCAGTGGCTTCGTCCTTTGCTGGTATGTTGGGCCTGATGGATTACGTCGCTATGTTGTCTATAATCCGGCGACCCACAAATGGCATGTACTGCCGCGTAGCATCCATTCTGTTGGTTAGACTCGCTTGGGTTTCAACCCAATGTCCTCGCACTTTCATGTGATTGAATTTGTTGAGGTGGAGGGTGCGTGCGTAGGTATGGAGATCTACTCATCTAAACTGTAGCATGGATCTTTAAGGAATCTGAATGGGGCGAGGGTATTATACTACATTCAAAATCGAGAAGTGTTTTTCTTAATGGTTTTATGCACATGCTTGAGTACTCTATGATAGTTGCTGTGGATATGAAGGGAAAGACATGGAGGACAATTCATAAACCACGTGGTGCTGAAATATCCCTCCATTAAGCTCAGGGTCACCTGTGTGTGTTGTGCTGATTTTCACAATGTCTTGGCTTTTAGTGTGGATATTTGAAGACTATGGTACTAATAAATGGAGATTAAAGCATGTTGTGGACACGGAGAAACTGTTTGTACACATCAATATTAAAGTTGGTTCTGAGCTTTGTGATGCGGAGTACAGAGTTATTACAGTTCACCCGGAATAGAATTTCATTTTTCTTGTTGAGAAGGATTGAACACTGATTGCATATGACAGAGGCCGTAGAAAGGTTCATGTCATTCATGCCCGTGTTATCCGCTTTTATAGACCAAGAGGGTGTTTCCATATGAACAGGCCTTACTATTTTCCTTGTGTTCCATTGTTCATGGAGTCATTAGCAGAGCAGTAAAGGTGCATTTGCTGCATTTCATCGTTATGACAGTCTTTGTTCAGGTAGGGAGTTGTTTTCATTCTATGTATGTATAGGCCAATTTTGGCTTGTTAACTAAAGGAATGGTATATTCAATATTATTAATTCTGCTGCTTTGTTCAGGTTGTGGATCAGATATGAAGAAGAGGGGTTCCATGGTGCATTGGCTACCAATTCGAAGGATGCACTAATTATATTTATTTTTCCTTGCAAGCAGGAGTGCCACATATGAGGAGCACAGCTACGTCGTTTCGTTATGTAAGTCTGTAGAGATCAGTAACTTTAGTATATAATCTATGTACCGTTTGTGTTAGGGTATCAGTTGAGAAAGATGTTATGGTAGCGTCCATTGTTATTGTAAAAAGTACTTTTGCTTGTGAACATGATTTATGGATGTAATGATTATGTATATGTATGATTTGTATTCAGTAAGCTATTAAGGGCCTAGCTGAATTAGTAAATATTATGAAACTGGATAAAATTCTATCACCGTCGGATGTAAGCGTCGTTTATTGGTTTCTTATCACCATCGCCGCTGGTGGTGTAAATGTCTAACACCGTCGCTATATGTACGATACGGCAAGGATAAAAATATATTACCATCAAATCATTTAGTAACCCGACACTGACTAAACAATCATCAAAGGCAAATCATAATGCAAGGCAACTGTGACTATGACCTTTGTACTGACAGTTCATTCGCTAACACGACAGCGATGTTTACCTCTACACAGACGTCTCGGTCGTCCCAGCGACAGTGAACCCGCACTGTAGATAGTCGGGTCAAAGTACAAGGCAACAGTGCTGGTGACCACTACACAGGCGGTTGATGTGCTCACACGATGGTGATGATAGCCTCGACATAGGCGAATAATTTGCTAATGCGACGGTGTTAGTATATACCCACAGCGGGGTTGTGCTCCAATACGAAGGAAGTAAAGACCTTATCATGGATGGATCATAAACCAATGCGGCGGTGTTAGTGTACACCACAATCGGTCTCAGATGCCAACGGTGAAGGCTATAACCATCACTGTCGACATCTTACTTCCGAGGCCAAAATTGGACTGTGATGGGAGTTACGACGTGGCTGTGAAAAGGTCTGAATGTAGTAGTGGACTGATATCTCCAAAGGAACATGAATCCTACATTTCTTTGTTTTTCATGCAATCTAGGTCCGAAGGCCGGTTTGGAACACAGGAATCATACATGAATTTCACATAAATTAATTTAACTTCACAGGAAAAAAAACATAGGAACAGTTCCGCAATCCAAATAGGCCCTAAACGTTCGATCTGATTAGCTAGGTCAGATATTAGATTCAAATAGTTATTTTGGATATCCATGAGCTGCCAATTGCTAAAGCCCAAGATAAAACTTCAGCCCAAACGGGTAAGTGGAACATAGTTGGTTATAGAAGTATAGATGAACGAACTCCAAATTCTAACCTCACTTGATATTCTAAGAAAGTAAAAATAAATTGAGAAAATGCAAATAGTCAGTTAATGCAATTTTTCGGTAGCAACACTTTGGAAGCTGAGAAAAAAAAACTAACTGATTTGACTAAAATTTAGCGGTAATGTTGGGAGTCAGACGTCCGTCCACGCTGGACGTCCCTGTTGGTGGACTCGATGTCCAGAAGCTGCCGTTCTTATCCGCTCCCGCCCAGTCATCATAGATTAAAAAAAATCAGGCATCACCGTAACTCCGTGGGGCACAACCAGTTCCTTTCGGCTCCCACACGCCTCCCTCTCTACCGTGTCTCCCGCCGGCCTTCCTCTCCACCGCCGTCGTGCCTGCACCATCGTGGCGTGCTCCCCATGACCGTATCGCCGCGGTGTGCTCCCCCACGAGGCCATGACCGCACCACCGTAGCGTGCTCGCCGCGCCAGGCTGCACCACCTGGCTGCTGCTGTCGTCTCCACCGCGGGCACCGTGTGCGCCCTACCGTCGAGGGCCGCACAGTCGCCCGCTCGCTACCATCCTCCTTCTCCACCGCGACCACATAGCCAGGATCCTACCGTGTCGTGCTTTGCTTTCTTGGCTGTCATGTTTTGCTGAAAGCGCATGTTGCAAGCGTATGCTTCGAGTGTTTCAGAGGTATGTTGCAAGTGTTTCAGATGGATGTAGCAAAAAGTAGATTATGATGTTGCATATGTTGCAATGGTTGTACACGTATGTTGCAAATGTCTGTTACCAATGTTTCATCTGTGTTTTCCGGACACATGTTGCAAGTGTGTTTATCGGAATATTGCATATGTTTCACATATACGTTGCATGCGTTTTATCTGAATGTTGTGTATGGTTATAATGATTTTCAAGTGTTTTCATGTGTTTTTCCAAGTATTTCAGAAGTATGTTTCAAGTATTTCATGTTGAAACTGTTGTGTTTGATGTTTCAAAAGCAGACCGGATGTTGCATCTGTACTCTTCGTCTTCTGCTGCATCATCTCGGTGCGTCCTCCTCCTGGCGCTGGTAGGGCATCCATACGATGCCGCGGCCGAGTCCTTCCGAATCGGAGGGGCCACCCCCTTTCCCTATTTGTCACTCGGGCGGCGCGGGCCCCACATGGAGCGCGTGAAACGGAGTGCAGCGCTTGGGCGTCTGTCTGGACGTCTGGTCGCTAACACTGCCAACAATTTAAACATAAGGTTCTTAATCTCATGGAATTTCGAGAATTTTAAATTTGTAGGCATTTGAATTGAATAACGTTTTGAACAATTGAAAACGTGTGATCCATGTGGTTTGTTGCTTAACCTAATGTCTGGAAAAAAAAAAACGTTGTCTGTATCCGGCTCGTCATGTATCTGATATTTATTCGTATTTGTAACGAGTCAAATTCAAATTCATATTTATATCCGATACTAATGAATATCCAACTCTGAAGAAAAAAATATATACGAAAAACAAATACGCTAGCGGAGTAGCCTAAAAACAGACACGCTAATCTTCTTGTGGCGCAAGCCTCGAGGGGAGGGGAAGCAGAGGACGACGGTGGCGGGCTCACTCGTAAGGAGGGCTGGAGGGGCAGGCCAGGCTACCAGCGCGTCGCCGCCGAGCACAACGCCGTCTGGATCCCCCCTACACGCCCCGCCGGTCGCCACTCGTCTCACGGTCCGCTCCGTTGCTTGCTTCCTTCCTTCCTGCCTGCCTGTGTGTAAGTGCTTGCTTGCTTGGATTGGATTGATTCCGCCGTGCTAAGCGCTTAGGGTTCTGTTTTTGTCCTCGATCGAGAGCACCCGGGCCCTTCTATGTTTTCTCCGTTCAGACTCGGTTACTCGTGGTCCCAAAAATCGGGAATGATGTGCGCCCCTGAGACTCGTTGATGTTAGGATGATTGTTTCATTTTTTTTCCCCAGTATATGCAAACTATTGTGGTAGTTGGCCGTAGAATGCATCTGTTTTGCATTAGCTTCTTGAGTTCTTGTAACATGTTGTTTAATCCAACTATCCAAGAACGTGTAGTGCATTTGGAATAGGGTGTTCGTATTGTGATTCGTCCAATTTTATTTTGGTTCAATATCTGAAGTTTGTGTGTGTGGCGGTGATCATCCCAAGTTTACGTGGATCACTTTCTTAGCATTTCAGTCCGTTGGTATCCAATCACGTGGTGATGTTTTGCTTAGTTACATTTGCTTTGCTTTGTTATCACTTCCTGAATTGTAGCGAGTTGGGTTTGCTGTACACAAGCCTGGTTTTTTAATCTATCAGGCGCAAATGATAAATCTTCTTTCACTTCGTGTATGGGAGCTAATGTTGGTTTTCTAATAAGTTTTGTTGAATTTAGCATATTGTTGACAATTTTGTGTGTTTTGATGTTTTTTACATTTTCACTAAGGGGTCCTGTTGTCAGTATTGCATTGCTTGTATGAAAGAACAAAATACTATACACCTGTTCATCAAAATCCAGTGTTGCGAGGAACATAGACATGTTGAAATCCTAGAGTTTTCAGGATTATGTGTATATCATAATTACTGAGATATTATTTTCTGGAAATGTCCAGTTACAGAGAGATTATTTTCTGGATATGTCTGTCTGTGTAAAGTGTGTGTTGTCCATGTCTTAGGCAAGTTAAGGTGCTACAATATTTATCTATTTGTGTGTACCCATGCTCATACTGGAGAACTTTTCATATGTTCAAGGGCTTATATTTTCCTTGAACTTACTGGGAACTGCTCATAAGTCCAGTGCCTTTTGTTTTGAAGTCAGATGTAAAGAAGGTAGTTTAGTATATCATTGTTATGCACTGCCAAGAACAGAACACTAGAATAACTGGATACTCTCATAGTAGGATCTGAATGCATAAGATCAAATTGATTCTGGCTTCTGTCTTTGTTCTGTTGACTTGATGTGTTTCTTGGCTGATTGAACTTAGTAATATTCTTTTGCTATCCTTTCTCCTCATTCTCTTATTGGACTATTTCTATTTCTCTGGTTGACAGGGAGCTTGGAGGGTTCTAACTTGAAAGGTTTGGTGGATGACGAAATTGTCATGAAGACGGGCAAGGCTGCAGGCATCGGTTTAGCTGTTGGCACTGTGTATGGTGCGCTAAATTCTATGCTGCATGATGGGCCTCAGGTTGGCAGTAATGTCAAGTATCCCCAGCTGATCAGAACTACCAAGGTGTGTGGGCATTGTGCAGCAAACTTAGCGGTTGTTGGAGCTACATATGTAGGCGTCGAGCAGGCTCTTGCAAGGTACAGGATGAAGAAGGACATCATTAATGGTGCTGCTGCTGGTTTTACTGCTGGTGCTGTTTTGGGTTTCAGAGGTAAGACATTTATCTTGCTCCAGTTGTTATTCCTAGCCTGAACTTATAGTAAAAATAAACTCCTTTGGGATAATGATTGTGTTTGTGTGATTTGTTGTCGATGATATTTTACTTGAACTTTCTCTGTTGATTTGTTACCACCTGTTCCCACAATTTTCTTTGGTGCTGGGGTCATCATGCTTCGGAAATTTCTTATGCTGCATAGTAGAAATTAGCTTCGAGCTATATGGGGACTTAATTTCTCGATTAATTTAATTGCATTGGTGAGAAATGCCATGCCACAAAGGTTACTTTGGAATTAGATTTGCTGTATGCACTTCTTGATAATAGAATCCTGTGTGTTATCAGAAGGTCTAGGATGCTATTCTACGACATGTAAAAATTCAACATGAAACATTAGGCAATGCTTTACTGCAAATTTTGACATAGTTACGCCCATTCTTGCATGTTAGATATCATGATTCATGGGAAGGAGGCCATTTGTTGACTTACTACTCCTGTTACTGTTCCACTTCCACTGATGGTCCTCATATGTGTTGTCCCCTTTGTGCATTACACAATTATCATCTTGTTTGATGAAGTAATACTAACTTGTCAATCTGGCATTGTTGCTTTGTGCAGTTGGGAGCTTCCGGACAGCATTCTTTTCAGGGTCTGCACTCGCTTTGACATCTGTACTGCTGGATGTCACCGGAATGAAAACTACTGATGAGGAAGAAAAAGGCAACCACTAGCCACCCTATGAAATGGAAGAGCAGAGGAGTTCCATCTCTAAAGAAATTCTAGTAGAATAGTAGTATCGGTGGCAGTGAAGAGTTTCTTAACCATCGATCTTAGTACACAAACGTAGTCTGTTCATAATAGAGGTAGTAGGTTATATATTTCGCTGGGGTCCTGGTCTGAAGCCTAAACACATGTTTGCATAGTACTTTCTGCCATTTTCATCTGCTGCTAGGTTTTTTCTCAAACTGCAAGTCGAAGTCACTGGTTAGTTCGTTCAAGTACCATCAGGTTCCACCAAATTCTGAATCTGTGCTGCAAGTTGTCTTTTTAACATTTTATATGGAAGCAGTGCATGTTTTTTGGTACTCGGTGTTTAATCTGAGATCTTGTTAGTTGTTTCTTCCTGATGTATGCTCTATGCTTGAGAATGTATATAGTTACCTTCTGCTTATCTGCAGGGGTTTAATGCTCTTCTATGTTTTATGACTGTCACAGAATATTGATATATTTTTTCTTTTGCTCTTCGTGCTGAAAACAAAGTTTATAATTTCCTAAAGAATAGTTTGTCAAGAGTTTTGTAGACTCAGCCATATACAAGATCTGGCTAAACCTTACGAGGCTGGTGCTCTGTCCAGCACAAGCACAAATGTCCAAAATACAGGCTCAGAAGATCCATGTATGCCACCTGGCCCCCAACTCTCCCGTGGATCCAGTGTGGCGTGACCCCATTGGCTCCCTGGATATCCCTCCTTTCCCTCTCGCTCTCGCAGCAAAATCCATTGCTGGGCTCTCACTTCTGCAGCTTGCTCACTACCCCCAAAACGTTCACAAAATCTCCAGAAAAATCCATTTCGTAACCAAAAATCTCAAGAAGAAAAAGAAAAATCAAGTGAAACCGGTAACGGAAAAATGGCAGTGGTTGGCCTATCCAGTGCTTTCTCTCCTCTCAGGTGAAGAAAGATTTCTCCCTTTCTACTCCCCCTCCTCATTCTTCAGTATGTGATTATTGTGAAACGGTGAAACCTGAAGAATCGGAATCTGTCTGCATGTTTTCAGAGGTTCTTGGATGGCCGTGAGGATCAGGCAGGGTGGGGAACCTGCAGGAATCAGCCTGTCTCCAAGAAGGAGGAGGAGAAGCTCGTCCTCCTGCGCGGCCGTGGTTCGGGCGGAGGTGAGTTTCGTGGGCGCCGACGAGGCGAAGAGGCTCGTGGACGAGGAGGGCTACACGGTGCTGGACATCAGGGACAGGACGCAGCGCGAGAGGGCACACATCAAGTCCTCCACCCATGTCCCTCTCTTCATTGAGAACCAAGACAATGACATTGGTACGCAAACAACTACTGCCCGCGCCACCATCTCAACATCAACATCTTCGCCCATGCATTCCTCCTACATTTCTTTCTTTTCTTTTTTGGAGGAATTTCTTGCAAGAAATGTTATGCTTTTCTTGTAGTACTTTGAATTGAGTTGAGACCCTGTATGTTCTGTTTAATTTTTGATTTGTTATTAAGGGACGATCGTGAAGCGCCAGCTGCACAACAACTTCGCGGGGCTCTTCTTCGGTCTGCCCTTCACCAAGCTCAACCCGGACTTCGCCAGGACAGTCAAGGACAAGTTCTCGCCGGAGAGCAAGGTGCTGGTTGTCTGCCAGGAAGGTCTCAGGTTTGTGGCCGAACAATTTTGTCATCAAGTTCCTTTGTCAGGACTAAGGACATGTTAAGCAAGCAAATTAAACATTCAATCGAGCTAAAAGGTGCAAGTACTCCCTATGATTGCATCTACAAGTTGTCTCGGACATTAACACGTTTCCACTGACAATTTGACTAGCCGTCTCTATCAAAATATTATTTATTTCAAATAAAAGCCAATTGTATGGACCATCTTTAGAGGGGTTTCTTTCAACTCCAGCTCCATGCTACAGTATCCAAAAGAGCCGAAGCCGGTGAAGCCAATTTTCTGGCTCCACCGGCTTCTAGTTCAATTTTGGGAAGACAGAAAAATAGCTCCATACTACAGTGCACAATATTTTAGAAAGAGGAGCTCTCTCCCAAACACAACCTATATGTTCTTAATATATATAAGCCGGAGCCATTTTAAGAAGAAAAGCCTTCCCAAACACAACCTATATGTTCTCAATATATATAGTCATCTACATTTTGATGGCGGACATTAGAATTTTGACCCTAAATGAATCCTAGAATGACCTGTATTGCAATCAGAGGGAGAATATTATTTATATCGTAATGCGATTATTGAGTAGTTACCCCGCAGGTCCAGTCTTTTTTATTGAGTAGTTGGATGATCTCGTATCGATTATTGATTCGGTTTTCCCTTGGTCTGCTGAAGGTCAGCGGCCGCTGCAGATGCACTGGAGAAAGAAGGCTTCCAAAATATTGCATGCATTACATCAGGCCTTCAGACAGTGAAGCCAGGTACCAAACTGATAAGCTCACAGAATTTGTTGCTCCAAGGTGTTTTGGAGTTTAAGCTGTAACATATAGCTCAAAATAATTTTACAGGAACGTTTGAATCTGTCGGGAAAAGTGAGCTGCAGAACGCGGGGAAAGCTGGCCTTGTCACCATCCAAGGGAAGATTTCAGTAGTCCTTGGGACTGTACTGATCAGTAAGATTGTTGTATTACTCTCTTTCAGAAATAACCAAATGGACCAGCTATCACCCTATCTTATGGCCACTCATGTGCAGGTGCCTATCTGTTTATAACATTCTTCCCCGACCAGGCTGAGAAGCTTTTTGACTTGGCTGGCATCAGTTTGTGACCAGAACTGATGTTCTTTCCATTCGTATTGGGTACTCCAGTTCATAATCAGGTCATCATTTGCATCTGTTCTCTGAAATCTTTGTCAAAATTATGTTCATCCAGAGATCCCTGTCCTCTCCAAAATAGAAATGCTAGAATTATTTGATGTCGAGATGAGTTACATCTTGATTCTAAAGTTCCTTCATGTATTTCAATTCTACTTTGGAGTTTTCTACTGAATTTGACGCGACCGCTGAAGTTAATGCTAGAACGCTTCTAACAATTTATTTGACTTGCAAAAGTGCAAATGCCCTTGCTTTATTGTAATAACATCATAAATTCCCTTACTTCTTCATAGGTAGCAAGACCTAAGAGAAATGCTTATAGGCCTTAGTTCAACCTCTTAAAGTTTAGTCTCTATCACATCGGATGTTTGGACACATGCATGAAGTATTAAATATAGACTAAAAAATAACTAATTATACAGATTGTGACTAATTTGCGAGACAAATTTTTAAACCTAATTAGTACATGATTTGACAATGTGGTGATACAGCTACAGTACATGTGCTAATACCGGATTAATTAGGCTTAATAAATTCGTCACGCGGATTCCTGAGGACTTCTGTAATTTGTTTTATTATTACTATCCGAACACTCCTATGTAACACCCGATGTGACACCCCTAAACTTTAGCCCCTAGATTTATACACCACCTTAGATGCTAACTGGGGAGGGACACCCCCATGTGACACCCGATGTGACACCTCTAAACTTTAGCCCCTGGATTTATACACCACCTTAGATGCTAACTGGGGGGGCGGGGGGACTATTTGATACGGATAAACTCATAATAGTACCAAGAACAATTTGTGTTCTGTTACTTCTGTAGCAAGCCACAGAGCCTGTTCAGGTTTTGATTTTCACCCAAAGATCTAAGGCACTATTCTTTAACAAATAAGATGAGAATCATTGCAGAATCTGAGTAAATGCTCAAATACGAACTAATCAGATATATTTCCCATTTCCTGTAGGATGATTGGTTGATCAAGTTGACTCACTCAGATGTTTCCAGGCCGAAAAGGAATTTTTGCTCTGTGTATTATTATGGAATTCTTGACAGATCAGCACTTATATTCTTTGAAACATCCCTTTTATCGATGTACCTCCTATTTCTATATACTGCTTGATTCATCTACGTGTTTGTTGCTTCTTGAAGTATTTAGACCTCTGATTCAGGATTCCAAATAGAAGCTTTTATCCATCTAGTCATGCTCATCCACTGCAGAACATTGACTTGTAGAACTTGATACCAATTGCAGTTGCAGATGAAATGATTGTCTTGTGTAATGACCTAATAATAGATCTTGCACTTGATGGGATGTCGTGGATTGCGATGGAAACTGAAAATGCCATAAATCTAAGGAAGAAACGTGCGTTCTAAATTTTATCTATCTAAAAAAAATTCGGTCCAGTTTGTTCATTCTCCATTCAATTAATCAAAACTTAGGAGAATTGAGGCCATATTATAATGCATGTATCTCAGTTGTTAAGTAGCTTTTCTGACGATTCAAACATCTTATCTCTGAGGGTATCCCAACCGATCAAGGGACATTAGAACCTAAAACGATTTTGTCCTGTAACCTTAGCACGAAAGAAGAAATATGACATTCATGCACAAATTTCACTTCTTACCTTTCCCTTTTTAGTTTGGAGACACCAATACAATCCATTCAAGCAGTCATATTTATATGACTGAAGTACAGTAGTAAAGAGCAGAAAGCCTTACACCTGTACCACCACCGTCTCCTAGAACCAAATACTGTTCAAAGAATGATTTTGAATCCCAAATGGAAAAGAAAGGAATGCATTTGAACGCGCTCATCAGGCAAATTTGAAAATCAGGGAGTCAGGGATTGAACTGACAAAACACTAACGCTGGAATGTACAAGATGTAGAATTCGATTCAAGTAAACAAACATGGTATATAACTGAAACAAACCATGCTGCCTTTGTGTCATCATATAGAAGTGCCGTTAAGAAAAACTGTAATCATATGAACAAGCAAAATCCTAAACATACACTGTTATGGTACGAAAATTGTTTGACATATCGAAATCACATTGAAGGTCTTGATCACTTTGTTATCAAAATCTAGCCTCCAAGTATCCCTCGTGCTACATGTATTTGCCAAGATATTCCCCCTCTAGTGCTCCTGCAAATTTCTGCTAATCTAAGCTCTATTCACACGAATGGGTTGTCCTTCCAATTCCTGAAACCACAGTTAATTATAGAACAATAAGACATTAGTCACATGCACTGTTCCAAAGTTTGATATCAAAAGCCATGCCAAGTTTCAAGGCTTCAAAAATCTTTTGAATAGCAAATATAGGAGATTATGGTCTCAATGCATGCTGAAATATGGTTAAACGTTAAAGAACGACAAGGATATTAATATCAGTAAATAAGTTTCTTTCGGAATGATATGTCGGAAGAATATGGCATCAGTTGATGTAGTTCAGATCATGTAATTCTAACTCATCTGTACACATGACAGTCAGTAAGTTAATTCCATATTTCCATCTATTTTTCACCTAAATGATAAGATAGAAGATTGCAGCACAGCATTTTTCTTTTGTTTGGCAATCGCCAAATGGTGACTACTTTATGAGGTAGCAAAGAAATGGCAGAAATGCATAAAATATACATGAGAAACTTACCGCGTTATTGAAAGTAGCAACAGCAGCTTCAACTTCTTCCTCGGAAGAGAATGTGACAAAGCCATACCCCTTTGATTTTGAGGTCCCCGGAATGTGGGAGACTGTGGCACTGAGGATCTTCCCCTTTTCAGAGAAGAAGTTTTTAAGAACTTCCGTTGTTACAGTCTTTGCAAGATTACCAACATAAACCTTATACTGACTATCCACAAATACAGGCTCGGATTCTGGTGCCGATCGGTCAATGTTCGGTAAGAAGCTCTCTGTAACATTCACTTTAATTTTTCGATCACCAACCTCCTGGCACAAAAAGCAGAAATATGAGTACCATGGCTGCATTCCCCTCAAAGTTCACAAATATGCCCTGGAGCAGAATTGCAACATTGGATGCTTACGGTCCCATTGAGAGCCTCAACTGCAGCATTGGCTTCTTCTGCAGTGCTCATCGTGACAAACCCGAATCGTCGGCTGCTGTTGGTATACTTGTCGTACATGACCTGCAGGAAACAATTGAACATTTCCATTTCAGCTTTCGGAGACCTAAAGTTATTTTGGAGCATAAAGCAAGACACTCATCACAACATAGCCTTGTCTATTTAATATTGATGCAGCAATTCGACAGAACCAATGCAAGCAGCCAAACCACACACGGATTACCATTTCCGAGACTCCAGTAATGTTTGAGCAAGAACTAAATAAATTAGATTGAATTTGGGCAAGAACTTGAGTGGGAAAGGCAGGAACCAAGAAAGACTGGTGTTGACAATCAAGTGGTCTTGCTGCGTGTTTCAGGTTGTGTGCAACCTAGGGCGAGCTAGCCCTTGCTGATGTTTGATTTAGGTCCCAATCCAACGTCAACAACTGGGAAGTGAGAAAGGTCCAATCTTGGAATGGGATAAGACACTACCTCGGCCCGCTCGACGGTGCCGTGCGCAGCGAACATGTCGCGGAGCTCGTCATTGGTGACGGTCCTGGGGATATTCCCGACGTAGAGCTTCCGCGCCGCCACCGCCTCTGGCGCCTCGAGCACCACCGAGGAGGCGGACACCCGCAGCGCCAAGCCCCGGCACCACGCGTGAGGCGCCGCGGCGGTCCGGAAGGAGATACGGATAGGGGTGGAGACGGAGACGGAGGCAGGGCTCAGGCAGCGCCGATGGAGGGCCCGAGGAGTTACTAGAGAGGAAATGGCGGTCGCCATTGGAGGGGAGAGGAGAGGAACGAGAGGGGAGGAGCCGAAGGAGGACAGCGTTATCCGTTGTCGCGGGTGGATTCGGTGTTTTGGAGATACAAACGAAAAAGTTAGGGCCTGCCTGGAAGTTTTGCCCTGTTCACTCACCTCGCCTCGCGCGTTCCGCGTGAAGCTTGCCAGATGAAGTGATCCAATTTTGCTTCTCTCTCAGGGTAGCAAGTTTTTTCTCGCGGCAATGATATACGGCGGGCGTCTGGACGGAACGGGCGTACCCACGCCGAACCAACCCACCCTTTCGTCGCATGTCGTTCCGGTCCTTATTCTCTCGACCGCTCACTCTCGAGCCTCGCAGAGCTCACCTGCCCTCTCCGTTCTACTGCCGCGCCCACCTGCTCACTGGGAAACTCCACGCACCACCTGTTGTCGCTCCCTCCCTTCCTCCCTCTCTCCCTCCCCTCCACGAGCTCCATGCGACTCAGCACTGCCCAACAACCCAACTCCTGTGCCCTCCACCGGAGACGTGGACGACGGTGGCGGCTCCGACAAGGTAAGTGGTCCTTCTCTGGATCTGAGACATCCTTCTCCTCCACTGGATCTGAGGAACGCAGTGGTGGCTAAGGTTCCGACGAGCTCTGGAGTCCTTCCCTCTTCCCTCTGGCAAGCTCGGAGGTGATGGCCAGGGCTGGAGCAGCTTGTACCTTGAATCCATCTCCTTGCTGTTTTCGTACGTCTTTTTGCTATTTTCTCTGGGTTGCAATTGGGTTTTTTTTATATTGCAACAGATGATTTTCGAATGTTGCAATGGGATTTTTGGGTTGTTGCAACAGATGTTTCCCTGAATGGTCCCATTTTCCATGTTTCATGGTCGTTTTTTGTGATGTTGCAGTACATATTTTTTGATATTGCAGCAAATAATTTTCGATGTTGCAGTACATAATTTTTTATGTTGCAGCACATATTTTTCGATGTTGCAGTATATATTTTCCGATGTTGCATTACTTGTTTTTTCGATGTTGTAGTATATGTTTTTTTGATGTTGCAACACATAATATTTGATGTTGCAGTACATATTTTCCAAAGTTGCAGTACATATTTTTGCGATGTTGCAGTATTCATATTTCGATGTTGCACTACATAGTTTTCTATATATTTGCGATGTTGCACTTGAAGTGTTTTCGTGCTCTTTGGGGACAGGTGGCGCGGTGGGGGGACATGGTGATGCGGGGGGGGGGGGGCAGTCGGGTTCCGTTCTATTCCCACGGTGGGGCGGGGCAGTTTTGGGAAGCGGGAGCAAGTGTTCCGCTCTATTCCCGTGGGGTGGGCGGGTGGGGTTGAGAAGGGAGCGGTGTTCTGTTCACGTTCTATTCCCACAGGGGGCGGGCAGGTTTGGGAGGGCACGGTGGGAAGGGCCCGACGTCCGGACACGTCTCACGCGCCGGACATCCGGACGCTAGAATTACCGGCCGGCGCAAATATCAAGGCAATCCAAGCACATGAACCAAACAGCTAGCAACGTCTATTTTCTTGCTTGGCCAGACAAGACAGTACCTGGCAAAGGTAACAAGCACACCCTTACTTAACCACCCAGATTACTCATAGTTTTCTACTTCAACCTTCACCTATAAAATCATATATTCTATCATTTAAACTATTGAAAATCGTCTAAATAATCCAAACTATTAAAAACGTCTAAATAATCCTCCTGTGTGATTTTAAAAGTAGTTACGCTAACCTAAAATATTAAAAATTCTATATACCTCTAACCTATCAAGGGTTGATCGCATAACCCCTCAACTATGACACCTGATAATGTAGCCCTTAAAGTATCTAATTATGTTTGAATGACCTCTTGATGATCTTGTAGGCCATTGGATACCGTGTACTGATACACTGGAGTATGTAACTATGCTTACAGGTAGTTCCATTTATTGCCCCCACCTCTCTACTCTTTCTATACTGACCCACCACTCGTTAACATGCGACGCCTTGTCTCCTGCTGTACCTCCTGTCACTCATTGAACTCAAGAACCACCCCTCCAACATCCTCCATCCAGCTATCCTTTAGTTTTCTTAGATAGCCATAGGAGAGACTAATCTTCTTCTTTTTTTCTTTTTTCTTGCTGCCTGTAGTGGACCGTGACGTCTAAGAGGGGGGTGAATTAGGCAACTTAAAATTCAACTTCCAAACTATGGCCTCTTTTTCTACCCTTAGCAAAACCTATGCAAAAGATAAACTATCTAAATATGCAACTACGGTTTTGCTAGTGTGTTGCTATCTCTACCGCAAAAGGAGTAATACAAACAATGTAAATGCGGAAGCTAAAGAGCGAGGTAGAGATATGCAAACTCCTGTCGATGACTCCGGTATTTTTACCGAGGTATCGAGAAGTGCGCAAGCTTCCCCCTAGTCCTCGTTGGAGCCCCTCGCAAGGAATCCCTCGCAAGGGCCAAGCTCCCGGTCGGGTAACTCCGTGGATAGCCTCGGGCCTTCCCCACACGCAAGTGGGTCTCCGACATGCCTTCCAACAAGCCTCTCCCGGATGCTCCCCGCCGTCTTCACTATCAATCTTCCGACCGAACAGCTGCGGGCCTTGTTCCCTTCGGTAAACGGTGGCGGCCACACCACAAACGCGGTTGGTGAGATCTCGCAAGACTACAAGCCTCTCCGATGTACAACAATGGTGCACGCAAGCACCGAGTGGTAAGAGGTATGCAAACCTCACTAAACACTAGGCCTAAACCTAGAGCAAGCGCATAAGCGGTGGTCTAATCAACCTAAGCACTTCGCAAAAGCACCTACGCTAATCACCTAATGAATCACTAAGCACTATGTAAGTGGAGATCACTAAAATGGTGTATCAACACCCTTGGTATGTTTTCTCAGCTCCACACATCTCAAATGCCCGGTTGGGGGGTCTATTTATAAGCCCAACTGAGAAAGTAGCCATTGGGGACGAAATCCCGCTTTTCTGCTACTGACCGGACACTGCTTTCGTCCTGACCGGACGCGTCCGGTCGTCCCGACCGTTAGAGCGTGATCAACTGATCGGACGCTGATGGCGTCTGGTCACATGCCACCGGACGCGTCCAGACACAACTTCGTTGCTCTGGAACCTCTCTGTACTCGATCGGACGCTGAAGTTCCTGCGTCCAGTCGATTTGACGCCATCGTCTGGTCAGTACTGAGTGTGTTGCCGGGATGATGAACAGTGCTATTGGTGCGTTCGGTCACTTCAGTACTCAGCGTCCGGTCAATGTTGCAGACGCCTGTTGTTGTCGAGCCACGGATCGAAGCGTCTGGTCACTATGCCACCAGCGTCCGGTGCTACGTCCGGTCACCTCTGTGAGCTCGTCTCTTAGCGATCTTGCATCCGGCTTGGTTCCTATCTTGGTGCTTAGACTTTACTTGATATCTTGGGTCTTCTCTTGTGCTTCTAGGGTCTTGCTTATGGTGTTGATCGTGGGATCACCACATCGCCTTTGTCCAAGTCACGTCTTGCATCCTATTGAACTATAAAACAATCACTTGCAAATTCATTAGTCCAATTTGGTTGTGTTGGTCATCAAACACCAAAATCCAAAGTAAATGGGTCTAGGATCTATTTTCCTTACACTGTCGGTAAAAAGGGGCCACACACTACACCTTAAGTGCATCGATTGTAGATCGGTGAACCACAAGCTAGATTGTGTACACCAAACAATCCAGCTCAGTGTTAGGACACATGGATCATAGATCGGTGGACCCCTAACGAGTTTGTATGCGATGGTCCGCTTGTTGTCAGTGGGGTTGTTCATGTAAGACCATCCAATGTTAGCGACTAGACCATCTAGTGTGAGCAACCGGACCATCTAGTGTGGGCTCAGGCAGTTGTTACATATCTGATGAGTTTCTTTGTCCTTTTGACTAAAACATGAAAGAAAATTACATCAGCCACCTGAAAGGTCATTGTTTGGTTTTAGTAATTGAGTGACAACCCTAGGTGGACTAATTGTGCTTATGTGAGATACACATGTGATTAGTCCACAGGTACATGTGTGTGAGCAACATATGCCATGGAGGTGGAAATGGCTCGGAAATGTTACAAAGCTCACACATGTGATGATGAAGGAGCTCATTTCATATGAGACATGACATTGAGTCATGTGATCAAGGTGGAGAAGATCAAGACAAGACTTGGCTTGATGGACTGGTTGCAAGAGTGAAGGACAAGTTGGAGGCTTTGGAGCGATGGACCGCGGGCGGTGAAGCTTGAGCAAGCCTTGGCGCCGATGGATGGAGGCAACGGTGAAAAGCAAGTGAAGTCAAGATCGATGAACCAATACGGTCACGTGATGATATGAAGTGGATCATATCATTGGGTGATTGGTTGGTTGAAAGCTCTAGTTTGGTTTTGGTGAATTGATGAAACCCTCAGTGCTAACCTAGTTTATCAAAGTGATTATGAGATAGGTAGCACTACTCCAAGTGAGGAAGCAAATGAAGATCATGACATGATGATGATGATGGCATGGTGATGATCAAATGCTTGGACTTGGAAAAGAGGAAAGAAAAACAAAAAGTTCAAGGCAAAGGTGAAATTGATAGGAGCTTTTTGGTTTAGTGATCGAGACACTTAGAGAGTGTGATCACATTTAGGATTGATAGCCATACTATTAAGAGGGGTGAAACTCGTATCGAAATACGATTATCAAAGTGCCACTAGATGCTCTAACTCATTGCATATGCATTTAGAATCTAGTGGAGTGCTAACACCCTTGAAAACATTTATGAAAATATTCTAACACACATGCACAAAGGTGATACATATTGTGTTTAGCACTTGGAAGCAAGGGTTCAAAACTTCACTAGTGGAGTGTCACAGAGTTTCACAGAGTGCACCGAACGCTGATCACGCAGTGACCGAACGCTGACCCTGCGTCCGGTTAGTGGCGCGCAGTGAAGGCTGCCCTCGGTCTCTTGACCGGACGTAGGCGATCGGACTTTGGCTGAACACTGTTCAGCATCCGGT